GCCAAATCAAATGGAGTCAGATCATTAACTTTGTGCTATTTGAAAAAGTTAGAATGGAGGCGTCATATCATATGACGCATGAATAGAGGAGGCGACATATGATTTGACGCCTTAGCTATTTTTTTAAAGCCATTTGATTTGCCTCCTTGATGTGTGTTTTTTTTTAATTTTTAATTTCAAATTAAAACTATGCGAAATTTATTTATTTTTAATGGATAGATATGCCATATGATATGACTACTACACTATTTTATTTTTCTATAAATAAGATTGTATGCTCGCTTATTTATTACTCCACAATAATTATCACAAATATTCTCAACTCAATCTAAAAGTATGTATGCATTCTTAAATCAGCGCTCATCATCATCATCATCGGAGGAACCACTACCAACATTTCCACTTATGAAAAGAAATGCCCTATTTTTTTCCAGCAAAAAGCCTCCGATGAAGGTTCTATTATGGAATACGCAGACCTTAGAGCATTTTCATAGGGAATTGAACCCTGGCTAGAAGGAGAAATTGCTGTAGGTGAAAAGATCAGGAAAATTGAGAGGCAAGTTGAGGAGTCAGGCCCAAATGGAGTTACTCGTGCTTGGAGAAAAGTGGTAAATGATGCTGGTGTCCTTATGATGATGTTAACACCAAAGGATATTATCTTGATGGTTGTAATATCCTAGATGAGTTGATGCATTAAGTTGTTTTATTCGAGTATGTTATTGTTATTTTCCGATTGTTGAGAATGGTGAAGACTTCTGTTATTAGGTTATGCCGTTGTTAATTGTTGTTGTTGAGATATTAAGTTATGCTTGTTTAAGTTATGTTGTTGTTAATTGTAATCGCTTAGTTATGCTATCAATGGAATGAAATTTTTTGTTGATATAAAGAGACAGGGTTACATTTAAAACTATGATCTTGTGCTTGATCCTACATTGGGACATTTTGTACGATTGTGTCTGGGTTGACGACACGAACTACATAATCTGACAATTTTGTTTGTCGTATCCATCTCCGTTGGAATGCGTGTGCTATTAAGACAACCATTTTTCTTTCTTCACATCAAATCATTATGCCAGACAATTTCGCCTTCGTATGGAGGCCAATAGTCCTCCTTTTCTACCACCTGAAAGACTCCTCCTAATTTTCGAACACCGTTTCGACCGCCTTAGTCCTAGCTATCCATATTTTCCTGTACGAAGGAGTATAGTTGTATCTTTGAACCATATGCGAGATTATGGTACTTACCTTCAAAGAAGGATTGTCGCTAATGACTGACATAATTTCATTGCATATGAACTGAGAGCTGAGTTTGCGATGATCCTGTATTAGATTCGTGATTATACAAGTGTGCTCTGGATCTATTGATCCTATCTTTCATGAATCCCTTCTCTTCTAAAAATATGCTGTCAATCGAAACGGGCACAACTCATTATGATAATAGATCTTATATAGAGTCAGATTCGTTTGATCGACTATATAATCTGCTGATAATTCCATGTGATATTGTTTTATAGCTCGGACACAGTCTTCTTTTGTACGAAAATTGTTTCCCTCTTTTAATACTCCTTCTGTTTGCATGTATGGATTGTAAAAAATATCTGTTGATGGTTCATCTACACCTAAGTTGAGACTTGTTATGTGTTGAGGTGGGCAATAAACTTGACTGGCTGGTAATATGTATTCCTCGTGGTTGGTAGTGGAATTGCTTACCATTTCATCAACAATGACTTCAACTTCTTCTTCTTCTTCGTCAACGACATCGACTTCAGCTTGTTCGCCGCCAGATTCGTAAAAAACACGAGAAAGATCAATAAGTTGAGACAATTGTTGTTGTTGTAACGTAATATATAGCTCAATATCATTGAAACTAGAATACTCATGACTGAGAAACATATTACGCACATTTTCATCGTCTCGAATCTTTAACTGAAATTTTTTGCATTGATTGTGCCCGACAAAAGAGATGTGTCGACATTGGAAGAATCAACATCGACATATCTTAGACGACCCTATTGTGGAAGGGGTTAGACCATGTCATCAATATATGATTTGGTTTAGGCCGATTACAACAACACAACCATTTGTGTTTGAGCCGACATATTTGATTGATCCGCGCCAACGTGCTTCTTCCTCACACACATAGCAACAAACACATGCCTAACATCAAACACCGTGTTATACCCAACAACCAATACTACCCACCAAATCAATCTTCTAGAACCGCAACCCATTCATGCCACCCACCCAATCACAACAACAAGAGCCTTACCCTTATCGCCAGCCTCCCGACACCGACACAACATTTGCCTATAACCCTGATAACTCTTTCGACTCCACCCCAGTCTACCATAGCCCCCCATAAATGAACACACAGTCGTTATACAACCAAAATACCCAACCATTATTTGACTACCAAACCCCACAACAACCATTGCATTGTTTTCAAAACGATTCAATTAACCAATTCAGCTAACCATGCCGTCCACACCCAACCCAATCCCCCGTCCCAACTTCGAAAATATAGACATGGAACTGAATTACGGAAGCGTCGTTGGCAGCAACTCCCCGACTATTGGACAAATGCTTCAAAACTTGTCAGATATGTCAGGACCGTCTCAACAAATACCTTTTTCACAGGTCAACACGCAAAGACCACAAACACCTCAACAAAATCGTGGTTGACCTCGACGTCGCACAAATGCACCAGAATGTGGAACCGGTAGACGTTTTGATAGGGCCAATCATTGAATTTTTTTCATCAATTGTAAACTATTTTATATTATATATTGTTATTTATTTTTTCTTTGGATTATTTGAAAATTTTTCTATTTAATTTCTTAATTAAAATTAAAATTAAAAAAATAAATAAATAAGTAGGATGCGCCATATGGGATGATGCATGCACTCCATTTAGGCGCACAACTAAAAGGTGACGCCATTTGATTTGGCTACACCTTGTGTAGGCTCCAAATCAAATGGCCCATGCACTCCAAGAGACACAAGTTAATGACCCGACTCTATTTGATTTGGCGCATGTATGTTGAAAGTATGGTAGTTTAGTAATTAATCTGAAAAATATGCTATTTTAGTGTTTAATTTGAATTAATAAATTATTTAAAAAAAATCTAATTTTATTATAATCTAGAATTTTATTAATAATTGAGCTTATAAAAGAAGCCCACATGTTTATAAGTACTCTTAGACATAGATCATTCTTTATCAAAACGAAGATTTTGAATAAAAACTTAAAGGAAAAGATTTGTAGCACATAAATATGTTATTTTTTCAATTATGGTTTTGGTTTAGTTATCTAAAATATTTTTTGAATAAAATATTATAATAAATAATATAAAATATTATTTAATGAAAGTTGAACCAGTTTAAAGTCCAAATTAATTTTGATATCCTTACATAAACAAAAAAAAGTAATTTTTTTTAAATACATAAAAAATAAATATTCTATTACAAAAATAAAAAAATTAAAACAAAACAAAAATAATATAAAAATATCGGAACAATATTTTCTAATAAATATTCATTCCAGTCTCTTTTACTCGTCACATTTATACAATTTTTATTTAACATTTTTAAAATTTGATGTAATATTATTTTAATTATTTTGTACAAATAAAAAAATTAAAAAGACAATAAATAATTAAAAAAAATAAGACAAACAGAAAAAGTTATAATATGATATAATTAAAGATGTATTCTATTTTTATAAATATGGGTGTTCGAGTTATAGATTGAGCAATTTTGATGTTAAAAATTATTCAAACTGTAAGATAAAAAAATATCCGATTTACTTTGGTTCAGTTGACTTTTAAAAATAAAATCAAACCGAACCAATGCGGTTTGGTTGATTTAATTTTTTACAAGATTTTTATTGAGTCATACACTTGTAAAGAACAAACAAACTTTATGTTTAGTTATTTATATATTATTAAATAATAACAAAATTCATCATATTTATACAAAAACTTATCATTCAACATACAAAAATAAAATTAGACAAAAGTGGAATAAAAAACATAACATAGTAACATAAAACAATATAAAAAATATTATAATAAAAAAGAAAAAACAGGGGAGATGAGAGAATAAAAAAGATGAAAAATAACGAACATAAAAGATATGAGATTAGAGAAGAAAGATGCAATAAAAACGTAATTGAAAAAGAAAACAATAGCATAAAAATGAGAAGATGAAAAATAAAGAACATAAGAGAAGATAGATTAGAGTAGAGGAAATTCGATGTACATGATAAAGAAGGTGAGAAGAATGTGTGATATTACTAAAAAAATATTTGAGAAGATTAAAATTAAAACTTAAATATGGATAAAAGAATATTTGAAAGGTTAAGATATAATAGATTTGAATTTTGGATTGAATTTGAAATAAGTGAAATTTGAGCTGTAATATAATAGAATTTGATTTGCTTTAGTTCAATTTGCAAAATGCAAACCATAAATCAAATCAAATAGCACGGTTTTGTTGAGAAATAATTCAAACATGGCCGACCCAAATACAATTTTTTATAATTTTAATTTAATTTAGTTTAATTTACCGTTTTCTATTGGATTTATTTGATTTTAAAGAACTCTATTTATGAATATCACTTTTGATTTTAATTCACATTATTTTATTTATTTAGTTTCATAATGACTGTAAATATATGTTATCTTGATTTTAGCTACATGCTCTTTCTCTTCCAACAAAATCATTTCTCATAATTGTGTAAAAATCCAACTCATATTGTATTATCAGAAATTGGAAGGAGACCCACTTCTCCCACACAATTCCACCGCCGTCAACTCCTCCGAATCATTTTTTCCGTCCAATCTGTCGATCCCTACACAACGCCAAAATCACGTTCCCTTTCATTCCCCAGATCTTCATCAATTTCATTTTCGTTTTCGTCCCTCACACAATCCTGGATCTTGCACAACCCTATTTTCGTTCCGTTTTCTGTTATCGGTTTATGTAGCTTCTGGTGAGATATGAGTAGGTCTCCGTCGTTTAAAGTGAGAACGGAACTGAATCCGAGTGTTGACTCAGAATCACTGAAACGATGGGTTCTTGCATTTTGTGCTATTAGATTTGATCTCGAACAAGGCCAGCTTGTAGAAGAGTGTTATCCACATGGTGTTCTTTCCCATGATGAGGAGCTTGAAATTGCTTATAGTTCCTTCCCGGATTCCGTTTCGCAGCATCAAAATCGCTCCAGTATTCATGATTGTATTTTCTTTTTCCGAATTTGCAGGAATTTTAAGCCTCCAGCTGGTAATGTTAACGCCTCTCTGAAATCTTCTGAGTATTTGTATGGTTATGTGTTTAACAGGCAGAGACATGATGAGAGGCTTAAACGCGGCGGGGAACAAAAATCGGTTGTGATTTTATCTCATAGACCTTATTCTAGTGTGTTTAGACCTTTGTTACAAATTGTAGGTCCTTTGTTTTTTGATATTGGTAAGAAAGCACTTGAGCATATTGCTGCTTATGTTTCAAAATGGCCGCCTCCGGTTCCTGGTCAGGTGATGGATCTTCCTATCGGAAATGCCTCGCTTAAAGTGAACTTACCGCCGGCTCTTAGTTTGCCTGTAGAAAATGGACTGTCTTTTGAAGAGTCTGCTTCCTCGGCAAACAATCAGTCTGCTCTGCAGGGTCTTTTTCATGATTCGGATCTTTTTGGGTCGTTTCGTGGGCTTTTATTACAGCTTTGGTTGTTATGGGAGTTGTTGCTTATTGGTGAACCAATGCTCGTCATTGCCCCCACCCCTCCACAATGTTGTGAAGCTGTTGCTAGTCTTGTGAGTTTGGTTGCGCCGTTGCTTTGCAGTGTTGACTTTAGGCCTTATTTTACCATCCATGATCCTGTGTTTGCACGATTAAACTCGATTCAAGAAGGCGAGGCTTTCCCACCGGTGATATTAGGTGTGACAAACCTTTTCTTCCTCAAAGCACTTCGTAATATTCCACATATTGTCTCGGTTGGAAGCCCTCCTCCTAATTCAAACCGGGTTTCCCTATCGAGTAGATCTTCTACTGGCAGAATTTCTGGTAGACCTGAAGGTCTTGGGTTTCAACAACTCTCCCTAAAAAAGTTTTCTCCTTCAAGTTTATTGAATGCAGTTAAGATGCGAAGAGACGGTCCTCTTTGTCTAATGACCGAACATAAGGAAGCTATTTGGAGTACCTATTCTGCTACGACTAAGCCAGATACTTCTATCTTAAACAGGCTTATAGATGCTGGGTTGTCACCAAGAGTTGAGGAGTCAATGTCTGTTGTGAACAATGAGATATTACGGAGACATTTCTTGGAGCTCACAACTAATTTTTTGGCACCCTTTTCCCCATATTTTAGAACTACAATACCATCAGAAGGATCTTCTCCTTACACAGACCCTCCTTCTCTACCTCCATTTGATGCCAATGAATTACTTGCTACTTTATCAGCAAGAGGTCCGGGGAAGTTTATTTTAAAGCGAATGAAATCTAACTGGCTTGACTTATACAGGTTATTAGCTTGACTTATACAGTTTATTTGTCTTGTACTTTCATCTACACTCAATTTGAAGTTCTTTACTAATTAAATTTCTAATCTACACTTGATTTGGTTGAATGCTCTCATCAGGCGATTCCTGAATGGACCCAACTTTATGCCATGGTTTCGAAGAAGGCGGGCTGTTGCTGAGCAAGAGCAAGATAGATTGTGGAGGCAGGCTAGGATAAAAACGGACATACAACAGCTTATTTCTAAATTTTCTGAGGTTGAAATTGTGGATTCTTTCAATGTTATAGAGAGACTTCTCCTCAAAGAAATACAGGTAGTCTGCTCTACTGAGATCCTCAAATGATTTTATGCATTTGGTTGACAGAGCCTTTCTCTATCGTAGTATATCCTGCATAATAGAGAACATTTTTTATTGGGATTTTATTGTTTGCTATTTATTTTCATGGTTTATGATCCTGTTTGACAAATGGACAAATATAAAGGCAGCTATTATATAATGAATGATGCTCAAGTCAAAACTGAAAAGAGACTTTTAAAGTGAGGCATTATGACGGAGAGAAATTAAAGTGCTAGCTAAGAGTGATGCGTTTTAGGAAATAATGAAAATAACTATTTTGACATTTTCATTGTTTCATGAAATGCAAAACAAGCGTTCACTTCAAGAATCTCATTTTTCTTTATTAACAAGTAAAACTAACACAAACTTTAGGAAATAAAAATAGAAAATGTTTTCAATGTAAATGAGGCCTTAGTGTGAATGGACTCAGTTGAAACAGAAAACATATTAGACTATTAAAGCATCTTTGTTTTCCTTTTACTTTCTTTCAGTTTCTTTTCCTTCTATTTTGTGTAGTAAACAGAGATTAGTGACTAGACATTCTGTTAGTGACTTCATGTAATCCACCCCCTAACCGACCTGTTAGAATATAATGTTCTGTGTGTTATATTATATGCTTTTGTATATTCGATTAGTGACTAGACATTCTGTTAGTTTTCTTTTTGAAAAGTAGACTTTCTTCTATTAGTTTCTGTTGGAGTTATTTACAGCTGTTGCAGCTGTAACTGGTTCATGTAACGGTCTCTTTGTACTTTGCCTGAGCCCTGTTACTCAAATGTATCAATTCAGAATTTAGTTTTAGAACATGTCAGAGATTTATCTCTCTCTGTTTCTTGCATTGTCTCTCAATAGAACTGAGGCTCGAGATCTTGTGGTATCATAGTGAAAAGGAGCGAGAGGGAAGATGATGAACCTTCCCATATATTATTCTACACAAAATTCAACTCCATTGTCATTTGAAACAGAAAGGCTGCAATTTATTGTGCCACAAAGACAGCATGGAAGAACTAACAGTAGAGTCAACATTCTTTACAAATGGAGTTTGTATAGAACTGAACAATGATAGTGGGCAGATGTAGTAGTAGCTGTATTTAGAAAAGAATTGAAAGAAGTTGAATCCATACAGGGAGGACTTGAAAGAAGATTGGGGAATTCCAAGCCTAGGAAATCTTGAAATAGGACCCGTTGGTTTAACAAAACAATTAATAGAATGAAATTCAAAATAGACACCATTATCCTTAACAAACTGACTCACTAACTAGATTCTGTCATAGAAGGGACAAACAATAACTTACTGAGGTATAACTTGACATTAGAGGGAGTATAAAATACTGCAAAACCAACAGGTTTGTTTTTAAGCTCTGATTATTTCCTAGGAAGACATGCTCTTGGTGTAATATGGGGGGAAGCATCTATCATTTTACCAGTTTTGAGACTGTTTAGAAGGACTAGAACTAGCCATGCAAGTCTCAGGAGGTTCAAAAGAGTTGAAGGTTGTGGCTGAGTTTAACTAGCCATGCAAGCCAGCATCTACTAGTGCTAGGAGTTTAGAGACTTATTTGGATTTAATATTGGTCTAAGTCTAACTCTTCCATTCAAAACTGACTTGTAAGGTCAGGAGTGACTCCTCTTTATAAATTTCTAGGTATTATCTCTTTTCAAAAATGGGACTTAAAATTTTTCCATTACACCTACTACTGAGCTTTGGTGCCCATATAGTTTGGCAGCCGCTTGCAAATCAATAGGCTACGATACCATATTAAGAAATTGAGGTACTAATTTACCAGAATAGAAGAAGAAATTGAGGTATTATTTATCATAAATAGTCACCCACTTCAGAGGTAAAATGAAAAAAAGAAGAAAATACCGCTGTACTGAGAAGGGGGAACCACTTCCACTCTCCGTTTCCCCCAATAATAACCATATGCCAATTCTCTGATACCCTCCGATCACCCCCCCCCCCCCCCCCCCCCCCCCCCCCCCCCCCCCACTTATAATGGGTAAGCCAGAATGTCCTTTTTCCATTACACCTACTTCTGAGCTTTGGTGCCCATATAGTTTGGCAGCCGCTTGCAAATCAATAGGCTACGATACCATATTAAGAAATTGAGGTATTATTTATCATAAATAGTCACCCACTTCAGAGGTAAAATGAAAAAAAGAAGAAAAGACCGCTGTACTGAGAAGGGGGAACCACTTCCACTCTCCGTTTCCCCCAATAATAACCATATGCCAATTCTCTGATACCCTCCGATCACCCCCCCACCCACCCACTTATAATGGGTAAGCCAGAATGTCCTTTTTGCAGGGGTCTAACTGAGGTGAGATGTCAAAAAACTGTTTCTTTTGGTATATTATGCACCACAACAATTACCACTGGAATGCTTAGCACTTCATTTACTCTTGGATCTGTTTGGTTATGTGATGAATTACATGATGTCAGAATTTCTGTTTTGTGTTCCCAAAACAAACAAGAATGTCCGACTTCCTTAAATTTTGGGACTTGAAACATAATGCATTACCCAATCCCAATGTGTGCTCAGAGGCCAACCAGTCTATCCAGTGAAGCGTGTTGAATCAATCAATAGAAGACTTCATTCTCCTGCCTGTCTTTTACTCTAAAACTAGAAAATGTTAATAAAAGATTTAAATTCAACAAACCTCCCTTGTAGCATTACCCAATGTGTGCTCACGGCCAACCACTCCATCCCATGAAGCGTGTTGAATCGATCAATAGAAGACTTCATTCTCCTGCATGTCTTTTACTTTAGAATAAGAAAATGTTAATAGAAGATTTAAATTCAACAATCCTCCCTTGTAGCTTTCCCACATCCACTCTTGCATTGAGGCCGCATTGTTGCTTCGCCTCCCTCTCTTATTTTTATATTACCCATCCATATTCTTTCTACAAAGTACTGTTTTTCAAGTGAAGGAACCCGGACAGTCTCGTCTCCATTCCGAGTTCTCCAGAAAAATGCTTCTTTTTTCTGTATTCAGTGTTCACTGGACCAAAGCACACCATTGCACTGCTGTTTTGCAATTTTTTAAATCTTTTTGTGGCAGCTTTTGTCTACTACATCTCAAGATCTGAATATGCTCCTTCTTTAGGCTCCAACAATATCTCTCTTCTCCCAAAATTTATAGTTAGTTTTGAAAAATACTTATGATCGGTCTGTTGGATGTGTGTCTGAGTCCTTTTTTTGTTTTCAAAAACCAGTTGAGTCATATCGGTTCATACAGTTAAGTGTACAACTTATCCATAGAGAGTTAAGTGTACAACTTATCCATAGAGGTACTCGAGTCCGGCATTCCTGGTCTAAGCCAAATATAATAATTTTGAAACCGCTTAAAATTTAGTCCCTTTTTGTGTCCTGCAATTTGGTTAATTGACCTATTCATAACCCACTTAGTTATTATGGTCACACACTGTTCTTGTCTTCGTTCCATTATTGTTTTTCTTTGGTGACTTTTGAAATGGACTTCCAAAACCAAATCTATTATTCTTCTCCTTTATCTTCGGCAATCATGTGCTGGTGGATGATCTCCCTTTTATGCTCTTTTTCCTTTTCAGTATCAAACTCTTCATCCTCGAGAATCCCTATTTACTCTCCTTCAGTTTCCTTCTCAATTTTCTCCTCTTCAATTAGGCTTGACTTCCCTGATAAGTTACTGGCTGTAGCAGATTGAACAAACCCTTAGCTATCAATGACTCTGATTCCAGTTTCATCTCCCCTTCATTTGATTTTGGGTAAATATCCCAGTATTCCGGTTTAAAACGCTTCATATTTGAAGGTGGGAATACTTTCCGACCCACCAGGAGTGCATGTCATCCGTTCACTGCATCCATCAACTTTTCCTTCTCTAATGTTCTCAGTTCTCCTCGTATGGAAGTGTTCCTAAATACAAAGGTTTATTCCTCTAAATCTCTGGTTATGCTGACTTTTCTATAAAACTACTTATTATCACGAGTTTAATGTCAGCATACTCGATCTTGTTCAGTTAAAGCATAACAAGGGCCTAGGTGTTTAAAAAGTTGTGCTTAAACTTGGATCGTTTCTGGAAAGTTGTTAAAGTATAATAGGTGGGTAATAATTTTATCGTCTCCATATGAATTATGGTGATATCACTGTCGTTTTACAGTTTAAAGAGTTTTAAGTAATAATTTTAAAAGAGTTTTGTTTGGTATCATAAATATCACAAGTGTTTTGTAGCAAAGATTAAAGTTTGAAAGATGTTTGTTTAAAAAGACAACAAGAATAGATTTTATCAATCTAACTTGCATATATTCTATCAATCAAGCATGTGAATTTGTTTCCGATCAATATAATCACATATTCTCTCAATACCGTTTATGTCTAAAGCGATTTCGTGAGTATTATCGTATTAATCACTAGATGATATCTCATGCAGTCATGCTAACAATCAATACAATAATCTTTAAACTTAAAGATTGACATAAAGTGAATATCAACTCACAAATCTATGTCTAGAGTTTGTTCATTGATAGATGAATAACTTAGGTCAAAGTTTGAAAAATACTTTTCCATAGTGAGTCAAATCAAATATATATCATTAAGAGCAAAAATATTCATCATACATTGATTATCAACTTGTTCACATACAAAAGATTAAAGAAAATACATACAAGCTTGAGAAAGACTACATCTACCCTCGATACAAAAGATTTAGCTACCCATCACAATGGTAGCTTGAGCAACAAGTAAGAAAGAAAGCTCTACTAGCATCAAAGTCTAAAGATCGAAGATTGATCTTCCAAAGCTTTGATTTTTACCCTTTTTGGAGTTCTAGAGCTTCTTGACCTAGAATATCTTAACCAAATTTGAAAAATGGGATTGTGAGTGAAAATATCTATAAAGTTGCCTTTTATACAAGTGCCATCAAGTGCCACCGCGCTAAGCCCTTGCAGAGCTCGCTTAGCGCGGTCAGTGACGTAACTGGCAAAATCTCAGAAAGCGCGCTTAATGCGGTGGACTGGGCTTAAGCGCGGTTTGACACCCTTAGCTACTGTCTCTGATAAAAAACCGCCTGCAAACCGGGCTAAGCGCAAAACCGCGCTGCAGATTGGGCTAAGCGCAAGCTGGCTCGAAAAGTTCGTCAAAATCTCGACTGCTCTTGCATTTCTTCCTTCATAGGATCCAAGTATCCATTCAAGTGCTAAAACCTACAAAAATTCACCAATTTGATCATCCAACAAACTATTTACAAGAATAAGCTTAAATTTACTTATTTACACTAAAACAACGATTTTATTACCACTTCACCATGAAATCAATTGAAAAGGGTCACAAATTACTATCAATTATATATATAATTTGGCCCTTAACAAAGATCGTCAACTGTATTTTGCATTCGATGTATAAATGCACATACATGTGTGATTTACACTTGTATACTTCTTATGTATACCAGTTATGAAAGTGATACAGTAGAAACACAAAGTTCGTGTACTAGAATCCATTGCCAAAATATGTGTTAATTAATATCTTAAAGAAGGAGGTCTTCTGATTTCTATGATATGAATTATTGATAATATATGAGTAGAAAGATCAGTAGTATTGAGATTTGAAGATTTTGAAGGTTGTAAAAAATTATTAGACTTTTAGAAAACATTGCACAAATTTAGAGATTGCATGCTCTGTGGCAATAAAGAAGATATGATGAAATGTGACAGATTGGCTTATTTATATTGTGCTGGTAGTATATGAAAACGCTTCATAGAATCATAGTTTTTCAGATGCTTAGCTGTATTACTTTGTCATATATTTTTTCCTGCACATTTGCAGGGATAAGTTATTGTTGGAGAGTTCCCTGTGTGAATTGTGCTGTTTGTTAACAAGATATTTTAGTCATCAATATCACATGTTAGTTCTTAGTAAATAAATTTGCACTTTCTTAGAAAATTATATGGATTTAAAATGGATAAAATTCAAATAGAAACTAATTTCGCAAAACATCATCTTTTAATCTATGTTAAATGCTATTTATCAGACGCAACAATCTGGAAAGGGAGGGGATGATTCCATGGTTGCAAGTCAGAAATTAAGGGGAGACCTTCAGGCAGTTTTTAATGTACTATCAAAGGACATGCAACAAGTTATGCTTTCAAATCCCCAAAGGGCATCCCTGCTACATGCAAGTTCAGAAGTGACAAACATTCCTGGACATCCAGTAATACAAGTTGCAGTTGTGTCTTCTACATCACAGAGGTAATGGGGAAAATCACAAAACGGAAGTATTCTTGCTCTATAGTATCTTCTAAAGCGGAAGGACAAATTAATTCATACACTACCTCCATCTTTTATTGAGAGAAGTTCTTTGATTCTTGAAGGTCAGTTGAGGTAAGTGTTTTGCATTCATTTTAATTGCTTTTAAGTAACTCTTATAACAATTTGTTTGCTGATTTCCATCTCATTCTTGTTCAAATAAACAGCTGTGTACACTTGAAGCACTCAGCGTGGTACGCCTCCTCCCTGAGCAAACATGCATGGAAATTCCTCTTAATGTTGAGTTTATGTTTTGTTGATTGCATTTGTTGGCAGAGATTGTGGCTTCGTGTTGTTTATATTCTGAATGATCGATCAACTGTAAATTATTATGTAGCATTCTTTTAACGAGTTTTTTTATTTATAAGTTCACATAGAAACTGTTGCATTTTTACCTATGAGACTAATTATGAAAATATAGAATAATTGAGGATCATATTTATTAGAAGAATTTGAGAACGAAACATAAATAATAGAGATTTTATGCATTAAAGAAATCTTTTATCTGAAGTACAGTTTTTAGTTTGACATGTTTAGCTTGAGTTTTGTCAAGAAAAAATAGGTGCGATTAATGTTTTTATTAGAAATATTAATTTATTATATTATTTATGTTGGTAACTGATTTGTTTGAGTTTGTCCTAGTCTTTAGGGATATTTGATTGAGTAATTAGTGGGTGCTGAATTTTAGGAATATATTGTTAGTGGCTTACAGCCTTATTATTAAGCAGTTTATAATTCTTGTTATGTTAACGCATCAATAAATAAAACAGAAGTTTTTGGTGCCTCTGCACTCTAAGTTAACAGTGGTATCAGAGCTGGTTCATTTAGAAAAAAAAATCTGAGTGAAACACAGTGAGATTTGAGCGAAAACATCATCGATGGCATCTTCCAATGAGAATTTTGTGCAGGCTGCAATTCCTCGTTTTGATGGTCATTACGACCATTGGAGCATGTTAATGGAGAATTTCTTGAAATCCAAAGAATATTGGCAAGTCGTTGACTCCTGATTTACAGAGCCTGTGAAGGGAGCAGTTCAAACAGATGCGTAGAAGGCAGAATTTGAGGCACTGAAACTCAAGGATCTTAAAGCCAAGAACTACTTGTTTCAGGCCATAGATCGAGCAACTTTGGAGACGATTCTCAGCAAAGAAACCTCCAAACAGATTTGGGACTCAATGAAGAAGAAATTTCAAGGGAACGCTAGGGCAAGACGAGTGCAGCTTCAAGCCCTACGGAGTGAATTTGAGACTTTACGCATGAAGTCGGATGAGTCTGTCACAGATTTCTTTGGAAGAACGATGATCATCGCCAACAAAATGAGAATTCATGGAGACAAGATGGATGATGTGACCATTATTGAGAAGATTCTTAGATCAATGACAACTAAGTTCAATTTTGTTGTTTGCTCCATTGAAGAATCCAAAGATATTGATTCACTCACGATTGATGAATTGCAAAGTTCCTTGTTGGTTCATGAGAATAAAATCAGCAAACAAGACAAAGAGGAGCAAGCACTTAAAGCCTCGACTTATTCAAATACCTCTAATTTTAGAGGAGGCCGAGACAGGGGCAGGGGCAGAGGAAGAGGTCGAGGCGGTTACGGTAGAGGCGATAATGGTCGTAGCAGCAACCATAGCAACAATCCCGCCAACCACCAGAATTTAGACAACTCAGGAAGAGGAAGAGGTCGAATGGGCTATCGTGGAGGTAATCATTCAAACAATTGTCGACCAAAATCTAATGTTGAGTGTTATCGCTGTCATAAATATGGTCATTATCAGAATGAATGTAGAACTTACTTGAATTGCCAAAATGGAGAAAGGACCAACTTTGCAGAAAGAGAAGAAGAGGAATCTCTCTTGATGGTGTGCAATGTAACAGAGGAAATTCTAGATAATCTGTGGTATTTGGATACGGGCTGCAGCAATCACATGTGCGGTGATAAAACAATATTTTCAGATTTGGATGAGTCTTTTCTGAGCACCATCAAATTCGGCGACAACTCCAAAATTAATGTTGCTGGAAGGGGCAATATTATTTTCAAGGCCAAGGGAAATAAAAGTCACAAGATCTCCGATGTCTTCTTTGTCCCAGAATTGAAGACCAACTTGATTAGTCTAGGACAACTTCAAGAAAAGGGGTACGAGATTCTGATCAAGAATGGTGTTTGTCGGGTTCAAGACGAAAAATTAGGGTTGATTGCTCAAGTTAAAATGACAGATAATCGGTTGTTTCCGTTAAATCTGCATAGATCCACAGGTTCTTGTTTCTCAGCAAAGATTCAAGACTCAACATGGTTATGACATTTTCGCTATGGTCATCTCAATTTTGGAGGATTGAAAACACTGCAGCAGAAAAATATGGTGACAGGTCTTCCGGAAATCGCACTTCCAACTCAGATTTGTGAAGATTGTGCTGTCAGCAAGCAGCATCGAGACTCTTTTCCATCTGGAAAATCCATCAGAGCCAAGAAAGTGCTAGAGGTGGTTCATTCGGACATTTGTGGCCCTCTAAATCCAATCTCGAATGGAGGTAAACGGTACCTCATTACTTTCATTGACGATTACAGTAGGAAGATATGGGTGTATTTTTTGAAAGAAAAATCTGAAGCATTTGATGTTTTCAAGACATTTAAAGTGTCTGTTGAAAAGGAAAGTGGATGTGTGATTACGGTTCTGCGAACAGATCGTGGTGGAGAGTATACGTCGCATGAATTCGCAAAGTTTTGTGAGAATCATGGAATTCAAAGGCAGCTTACAGCAGCATATTCACCTCAGCAAAATGGTGTTTGTGAGCGGAAAAATCGCACTATTATGAACATGGTTCGAAGTTTGCTAAATAGAAGTGGAATCTCTAAAACTTTTTAGCCCGAAGCAGTGAATTGGAGCGTCCACATTTTGAATAGAAGTCCGACCTTTTCTGTTCAAAACATGACTCCTGAGGAGGCATGGAGTGGAAACAAACCAGCTGTCAATCACCTCAGAATTTTTGGGTGTGTTGCCTACGCTCATGTCCCGGATCAAAGAAGAAAAAAACTTGAAGACAAGGGGGTGAAGTGTATTTTTCTTGGTATTAGTAATCAGTCAAAAGCATATAAGCTTTATAATCCTAACACCAAGAAGATTATAATTAGCCGTGATGTGATATTTGATGAACAAAATTTTTGGGCAGCGAATAAGAGTGCTGTTGTGCATCAAGAGAAATTGGTGGATTTTGATGAAATTGAAGATGAGCAACCTGAAACTTCAAGTGTGCAGCACCGGTCCACACAACAGCAGCCCGCAGAAACAGTAGCTGATAATTCTGTGCAGACTCTTGGCTCACCAGCAACATCAACTTTAGAACCTCGTCCTCGGTGTGATAAAAGAAGTCGCTCACCAACAGCATCAACTTCAGAACCTCGTCCTCGGCGTGATAAAAGAAGACCTGGTTGGATGATTGATTATGAGGTGACTGGAGTAAATCAATCAGAATGTCAACTAACACACTTTGCATTTCTTACGGATTGTGATCCCATGGTTTTTGAAGAAGCTATTAAGGAACCAAAGTGGAAAAAAGCAATGGATGAAGAAATTGCTTCTATTGAGAAGAACAACACTTGGGAGTTGGTTGATCTTCCACAAAGGCAAAAGACAATTGGTGTGAAATGGGTGTATAAGACAAAATTCAAGGAAGATGGAGAAGTTGACAAGTACAAGGCACGACTTGTCGCTAAAGGTTACAAGCAAGAGTTTGGGGTGGACTATACTGAAGTATTTGCTCCAGTTGCAAGACATGATACAATTAGAATGGTGGTTGCTGTAGCTGCACAAAATTCATGGCCCATCTTCCAATTGGATGTAAAATCAGCATTTTTACATGGTGATTTGAAGGAGCAGGTGTTCATTGATCAACCTCCTGGATACATGAAGTTTGGATGTGAGCACAAAGTCTACAGACTAAAGAAGGCTTTGTATGGATTAAAACAAGCACCACGCGCTTGGTACAGTAGAATTGAAGCTTACTTCCTGAAGGAAGGGTTTGAGAAATGTCCTTTTGAACACACACTTTTTGTGAAAAGTGGGGAAGGAAGAAAATTGTTGATCGTGTGCTTGTATGTGGATGATTTGATATATACAGGGAACGATTTCAGCATGTTTGAAAGGTTCAAGCAATCTATGATGTTGGAATTTGATATGTCTGATTTAGGGAAGATGCATTATTTTCTCGGCATAGAAGTAGTGCAATCAAAAGCTGACATTTTTATCTCACAAAAGAAGTATGTGCAAGAAATTCTGAACAGATTTCAGATGTCAAATTGCAATTGTGCTGCTACACCTACTGAAGTAGGCTTGAAACTTGTTCGAAATTCGGATGAAAAGAAGGTTGACAACCAACTTTACAAGCAAATCGTGGGGAGTCTGATGTATTTAACAGGAACGAGGCCTGATATCATGCATGCTGTAAGTTTGATCAGCAGGTATATGGAAAATCCTAAGGAGAGTCATCTCTTGGCTGCAAAGAGAATTCTCAGGTACTTGCGAGGTACTACTAGTTTTGGAATTTTCTACAAGAAGGGAGAAAATTCGGATCTGATTGGCTATACAGATAGTGATTATGCTGGAGATATTGATGATAGAAAGAGTACTTCTGGCTATGTCTTTATGCTGGGTTCTGGAGCCATCTCATGGTCATCAAAGAAACAAGAGATAGTCACCCTATCAACTACCGAAGCAGAATATGTTGCTGCAACAGCATGTGCTTGTCAAGCAATTTGGCTTAGGAGGATACTTGAAGGGATGAATTTTGTGCAGGAAAGGGAAGTTAATGCTACTGCAATTTATTGCGACAACAGTTCAGCTATCAAACTGTCCAATAATCCTGTTTTACATGGAAGAAGCAAACACATAGACGTGAAATTTCATTTTATCCGGAATCTCACAAAGGATGGAGTGATTGAACTTCACT